AAATTCCCTATCCTACACCCCTGGACATGTAAGAGTCTAATATAATGTTTTATTAACATAATAAAGTGGTAAAAATACTTAAGTAAAACACAACACCTATCCATCCTACATATATCCCTTAAATTTCAATGAACAATCTTCAGCAAGTGAGATGTAATGGTCCAAACAAAGCATGTTGGTGTATCTGATGATATACAATCTCCAGGTGTAGAGCCAACGCCGTACTTCTAGTCTAGGTTCTGTAGGTTCCGTATCCCTTGCTTGGATACCCAGGGGTATGCAGGGCGATTGAGGAACGGGAAACTAAAGGCGATATTCAATTGCAACAAGCTCAGGATAGGTTGGTTTCTTAATTGTATGTCTACCGGTTTCGCTCGAACATGTGGGCTTCTTCAGGATGATATATAATGTACACCAGCATCGTAGATACTCTAGAGAAATCCATGATAAATATCAGATAAATCATTGATTTGCATTAAGTGCGTGTTGTTTACAGAACGACTGTCATGGATGACTTCACATCATGTTCTGGTTCCAAGAATAATAACACATGCAGGAAACTGGTGGCATATATTTCTCTCTCTATCCAAATTTTAGCTTCATTCAGACATATAATTTTTATGCTTTATTTTCCAGCAACAATTTTCCATAGTGTCATTCATACCTTCCATATTTGTTTTTGTTTATTCCTAAGAGGAAAACATTCACTTCAACATTTCAGTTATGACGATCTGAAATCAATCATTGACACATTATCGACGGATTTACGAAAAACCACTAATTGTGACATGGTGGCCACAAGGCTACAATTACATCTGACGGTTGGTGGTCATTATCAACAGATCGACCATTACAATCTATCGCTGGTGGACATTCATTATCAACCGATATACAATAATAGTTAATCACTGGAACAACACTGGTAACATTTAATCACTCACAGGTTGTTTCGGGTTCCCAGGGAATTCAATAAATCAAGTTGTAAGTTTACGCTACTGGTCAATTCGAGGAAAGGGTTGGGAAGGTAGACTATTTTGTCCAATTACAAAAACATTGATTTCTGGAAATAACATCTGGGTAGAAAACAATACTGATTATACAGATTAATTGCCCTAGGCCTATACCAGAATAGCTACAACCCTAACTCCCTGACTGACCGACAAGTATGTGACGTCTATCGTACACCTTTGAGCTGGACATTTTCCCTGACCGAGGGTCAATAACAGTGGTAGGGTATAAACAGGACACCATTGTTAGAACTCCTTTACTTCTGACACCCACACAGATCAATACATCTGCCAATTTCAAATTCTCCAATTTTTTGTTGCATCTTTCAGAAATTATTTTTTTATTGATACAATCTGTAACTCCATTTCATTATTCATGCTATCATATCCCTGAGCTATAACACCAGTGAGGTATATGATAAATCATAGTGTGATCATGACAAATAACAAAGTCAACCTTCTCTTCCTTCGTTTTTCATCTTCCCACGTGAGTGTGATTTTTTATTATATCAATGGAAATATACCAGGACTTATATCCTGATCTTAACATAGTCCACGGTCTATACACTCTGTACATCCTAAACACAACCAAAGCAACAAAATATTCTCCATTTTTTAGAGAGATAAAGATCACATCAGATATGATTTCTGTCCGCTAAAACTTCTTTAATCGTGTCAATGAGTTATGTTTAGCTAACACGCACAGTTAATACTTCCAATGCTATAAACACTCAACACAAAATTGGTTATAGATTTTTAATATGTATTTTCTTTTTAAATAATGTAATGTTAAATATGATATCATTAATTTATTTTCACTGTAATGTTCTTTTAGGAGATTGCATGCACATTTGTTTGATTCAGTTTTCATGAACAATGTTTGCATAATTTAATCATCAACAAAGATTGGTGCTGCACGATCAATTTAATGATAGTGTTATAGCTATATCACGGGCTAAAGATACCATCTTCACACACACAAAAACAGGGACTGAGCACACCCCCATACCACTAATAATTTTAATAAATAAGATTGGATTGTATGTTGTTTCCTTGAGGGGAGAGCAGGTAAACATTGAATCCTATTTACTCGATATTCCCAGCCTGCTTCACGTTGTGTAATGAATGTTTATTCAATGATAGCCATCTACCTGATCAAATATCCTGCTGATTGATTACACTCTACGGTCACTTAGACTTAAAGTAATATTGTCTATATCGGTATCCATCCATACACATGACAGCGACTGCACAGGTATATATGTAAATACATAAGTTACTACTGGGCCTTACAATATTATCCACGTTGATGATTGTTGTTCTGTAAGCTGACTGTACACAATTGACTTTTAATAGCAAATAAAATATGGCAAACTACATTACTAAGACAATACCTAATGGATTGCATTTTGATAACAATTACTTATTTTGTGAAGTTATAAATGGACTTTCTAGAGAAGAAGACAAAATGTCATCCAATCAGAAGCCATGGTGGCCATCTTGGATTCTTTGAGTAAACCTGAAAACTGAAAATTTGAGTTTGTTCAAGAAAAAAGGCCATTAACTGTTCATTCATTTTATGATTGGATGAGATTGATTGCTCAATCTAGAGTAAGAGATAAAGTAAAACATGTCTCAACCAATCAGAAGTCATAACAGCCATTTTGGATTTTGATTAATCCTAACCCAAAATACAGTTAACTTCAGTTAGATAGAATCTTAAAGCTTTTAATTTAGATTAAAAGATAAGTTAAAGAGACAAAACTTGGTAGAAATGGGGATTATGAAAGCCCCATTTCTACCAAGTTTTGTCAAGACCTGAATATCTCTTTAACTTATCTTTTAAGCTAAATTAAAAGTATTTACCAGCAGATCTTAGCCTTTGAGAGGCGGTTTCAACCATCTTGGGATTTGACTTGAGTCAACCATACATTTCACAAAATAAAAGGAACAAGACGAATAATCAATAAATATTGCAATATAAATAGATAGTTTGTAATAAAAGGACTAAATGTATATAATCAAAATGTGTTTGTGAAGGATAGTACATAAGGAGACTGATGTATGAGACTATTTTGATGACAATGATTACAATGATGACGATGTGTAAATGGATGAGAATAGAATAAATGGGTAAATAAGGGAACTTGTATGAAAACAAATATTTTTTAATTATCTTTACATATATTTATGCATAAAAACCTAATATAAAGACTGAATAAAATTAATATCAAACAAATAGTTTGTTTCTATCCAGGTTTAATAGGGGGTTATTGGTATTTCTTCCCACTAATCTAATGAAGAATGGTTGTGAGAGAGTCCAGAGACATGAGCCTCCTCGGTCTTAATATAAACTTTATTTCCATATGGGTAAGTACAAGTACAGAGTTACACAACAAATGTCATGCATACCAGACACTACACGATAGTGTTGTAATGGAACTGGAGTTGGTCAGCGACCATGTAAATCAATTGCTAGATCTATAGAGCATCTGTCTGGAGGTTGGAGGGTCCTGGGTTCGAGTCCCGGTCTGACCTTGCATTTCTCTTTCTCCTGTTATAGTATCATTGTTGTTACCCTGAAACCACCTTTTTCATCTACATTTACGAGCAATCTTTGTTCTATAATTTGAATCATATGTACAATCAATTTTGAAATATCAGGATGTATCTACAGAACATATTTTTACATTTGGTATGGTGTAGGGGAAACAACTCCTGTCACATTTTGATACAAAAACGAAAAGAATCGTGTACAATACATGTACATTAAATTTGCATACTAATGTGTTGATGTATCAATTAAAAGTCTGGTTTTTCTTAACGTTGTTAATCCTAAATGATATTTAAAATCCATACCAATTATTTAAAATGACATGCATACATATCATATGGATCATTTTGGTACACCTGTAAAATTCTAGTGACACCCCTTGAGTAATATCATGTGATGGAGGACCGTAGCTATGAATAATACTTCAGGGACAATTTAGTGAAGTAATTATTCATGAAAATATAGTTTGATACACCTTATGAAAAATTCATGTAGAGAAATTGACAAAAATGGTCAATTCTGGCTTTATTCACCAGACTTGTTTGGAACACAAGTACAGACATCTATTTTGACTCAATAGCATCTTCCAAACAACGTCTCAATCCATCAATATAAATGAGTAATTATTTTACATTCAACCTACTGATATCATATTTTGTGCAGTTTAAAGTTCTCGCTGCAGTATCCTCTTGTGTGTATACTCTAAGTTAACCTCGCTGCCGTATCCTCTTGTGTGTACACTCTAAGTTAACCTCGCTGCCGTATCCTCTTGTGTGTATCCTCTAAGTTTACCTCGCTGCAGTATCCTCTTGTTTGTATACTCTAAGTTAACCTCGATGCAGTATCCTCTTGCGTGTATACTCTAAGATAACCTCGCTGCAGTATCCTCTTGGGTGTATACTCTAAGTTAACTTCGTTGCAGTATACTCTTGCGAGTATATTCTAAGTTGACCTGGCTTCAGTATCCTCTTGCGTGTATGCTCTAAGTTAACCTCGCTGCCGTATCCTCTTGTGTGTATACTCTTAGTTAACCTCGCTGCAGTATCCTCTTGTATGTATACTCTAATTTAACCTCGCTGCAGTATCCTCTTGAGTGTATACTCTAAGTTACCCTCGCTACCGTATCCTCTTGTTTGTATACTCTAAGTTAACCACGCTGCAGTATCCTCTTGGGTGTATACTCTAAGTTAACCTCGCTGCAGTATCCTCTTGCGTGTATACTCTAAGTTAACCTAGTAGCTGTTTCTTATTCAAATCCAACAGTGAACAGACATCACCAGTAAAAGCACCTGAAACAGAGCTTTACCTAAACAGCTGATCAATGGGGATTTATCCTTGTCTAATTACTATACAGGTAAGGTATACCTCAGTCATACAGCAACGTACTCAAGACTTTTTATAACCCGTACTTATAATTAGGATGATACATTTATACTGACCCTTTTCCAGTAACTTCTTGGTATCTTCCTTAGGTAACTTGATAAACATGTTTCCAAAGCACACCCAAGTCTTCTGTGATTTCTTATCTTTTGATAACAGCCTGATGGAAAGGAAACATGATAATAAATACACTACATCTGAAAGGAACTGTCACTACCAATGGGTCAGAGAATATCCCTAGTTCTAATGGGTCAGAGAATATCCCTAGTTCCAAAACAATGAAGTAACCTTAGAATAGATAGCCATGCACCATTTTTTTTCTACAGATAAATATAATTTCAACCGGTTGACGATTTAGGAATTAGGATGAAATTATTTTCTCTTTGGTATGAGAGTAGCCAATAGGTGGCTCTAGTCGTGCTACAGGTGTTCGCACGTGCTGAGATAGTGTATATACGTGTCATTCAGGCGACACAGGTAAAGCCGTGCACACGTGAATTTTTTGTTGTTGTTATTTATAAATAAGTAGGGTAGGAGTGATGATTGTGTGTGAGATGTACACTTACACTGTTGTGTTGCTGTTTTTTGATGATTATATGTAAATAAATATCAGTCAGTGCCTATGTCGCTGGGAAATACAAGATTTTGTATTTGTGTTATTATTCCTATTGGATAATGATTTAGGAGAGAATTAGTTTTTAAGTTCAAACAGCACCGAAAAACGTAATTCAAACTCAAATATCAGTGTTTTGATTACGTTTTTAAAAAATGGCACATGCAACGACTATGCATTCTGTTTTGCACTACAGGAATAAATCCACCATACAGGAATACTTTCTTTGATATAAATTCTAAAGGTCATCATAAAAATATGCTGACAAGAAAATATTCATTTGAAGTGTAAGATACTGCAAAATTCAAGCCTTGATTCGATTTGGGTCCTGACATTCGCAAAAACAGCAAACGCTGATTGGTGACTTCAGAGCGTTCTATAAATATCTCAAGTGGGCCCTGGGTGCTAATTTCGTTTGTAAGAACATCCATCGATATTCTTCTTTTGATACAACCATAAATGGATATAATTCCTCCTCAGATTTTTCAATGAATGAATAAAACGATGGTTTGGTGATCCGATTAGGGTACTTTCACCTTAGACGTCTGATCCTGTACAGTTGTACATGTAAACCTTGTCTCACCGAAAATGTTTGTCTCTAAAGACAGTCATGTTTGTTTAACTGGCAAAAAAAGGTTAGTTTATAATTGCTATTGCAAAGGTTGAACTTGATGTTATTTAAAATGCGTTTTTTTTTTTTTTTTTAGTGATCGTTATTAGCAACTATTATTAAAACTAGAAAATGTCTTTAAGACATAAATGCCCTCACTCATGGATGGGACGGGACAGGACGGGACGGACATGGGCAACCACTATATGCCCCCCATTTCATGGCGGGGGCATAACAAAATCATACCCGAATAATTTCAACATTTTGTTCATATTTTATCACATTAGATCACAAATTGATGCATGTATATGCTAATTAGGAAATTTGTGGGATGCATAGGTTTAAGAATAATATGATACCTTGATGAGGACACTAGGGGTACAGCATTCACTTGCCAGAACTTGTAACTGGCGAGTTAAAAATGTGAATGTCAAAATTCCAGGGACAGTTTTAAGGTAAAATGCAGGTGACAATATTCAGTGATGAAACATGTGACAAAAATCAATGCTACCACCTCTTTAACGGAACATTAATAATTAGACTAAAATTTAAAAAAAATGGCATTTTTATGTTTATTTATCAAACCTATACAGAACATATCTATACTTACAACATTATATATAGTAGGACTTGCTTTAAAGACATGAAAAAGACCATTATTTTGGACAAAAAAAAAAGGATCTTTTTCTTATAAGTTTTTCATTGCACTAAATATGGTGCAAATAAAAAAAAGAGGCCCAGAGGGCCTGTATCGCTCACCTGAATATGTTTAAAATAATTGGTATGAAGTAAAGATATAGCACTCCATGTTAGGTGCTGTAAGTACATATGAAATTTCAGAATGATCCATCCAGTACTTGAGATATAGCGAGAACAAACTTCAAACAGAGCCCCATCCCTATGCCCCTAGGGGGGTCATCCCCTCCGTTTATACAAAATTGAGACCCCTTGGCCCAAGGATGCTCCACAACTAAATTAGGATAAAATCCCTTAATCCCCACAGTAGAAGAAGGATTTTGAAGGTTTTATCTCTATTTCCCCTATTGGGCCCCGCCCCTCTGCCCCCAGGCGGGCCACACCCACCATTCATACAAAATTGAGTCCCCTTGGCCCAAGGATGCCCCAGACTAAATTAGGATAAAATCCCTTAATCCCTACAGTAGAAGAAGGATTTTGAAGGTTTTATCTCTATTTCCCCTATTGGGCCCCGCCCCTCTGCCCCCAGGGGGGCCACACCCACCATTTATACAAAATTGAGTCCCCTTGGCCTAAGGATGCTCCAGACCAAATTAAGTCAAAATCTACTAGGCCGTTCAGGTCAAGTAGCGTTTTAAAGGAAAAGTTGACGGCCGACGGCCGACGGACGCTGCGGTATGGCATAAGCTCACCATGGTCCTTTCAAATTCCTGTAAAACTAGACCTACCAGCAAAACCACAATAAGTTACTATTTCAAAACAGAAACTATCATCCCTATTAATGAAATGAAGAAATATTAATCATCTACATTTCTTCAGTGTTTCTCATGAGTTATCCACATATAAGAAAATTAGACAAAAAAACAAGAATTCCACGGGAGTGGATGTGTTGCCTGCTCAGCACTTTTAGTAAGAAAAGTGTTTTGGCTCGAGTTATCGCGTAAACAGATATGCCAAAACGCAGAAAGTTGAAACTCGACAGAAAACCCTGTAATATTTACTGAACATTATTGCTTCTAGCATTACTGTACAAAGTTTGAAAGGAATTGATTAAAAAATAAAAACGTTCTTGCATATACTACACTATGTCCTTATTTGGCAATAAACGGGGCATAACTCCAAACAAATTGCACCTAAACTTCTGAAATGCGAATTTGTACGAGCTATATTGGTATGCAATATGTGTACCAAGTTTTGAGTTTAATCAACCCAAGGGAACTCTCAAGTTATCGCATGGAAACCTTGTTTCGAATGATACAACCGCCGCCGCCGACAAAGTAATACCTACATGTCGCCTCGCTTTGCAGGCAACACAAAAAGGAAGGAAAAGAGCTATACAAAAATCATCACTGATCAGGCCTTGCTTTCAAGACATCAGAAACAATATTCTAATAATCTGACATTCAATTTTGAACTACAAGGTAGGTCATTCATTCAGATCCACATTTCATAGCACTTTATTTACACCATTAATATTAAGCTACATGCCAAACATCATGACCTTAGGTTTCTTGGATATTCAGAGGAAGTGGTTTTAAGACTTTAACACATTTGAGCTTTGTGATTATGAAAGTGTGTCAAGGTGATTTATTGGAACAAACATGACAGCACTTCAACCAAGCTTACTATCGGCCAAATGTCAAATATCATCACCCTAGGCTTCTGATTATTCAGAAGAAGTCATTTTTAAAAAGGTTCTGACACATTCAATCTCTGTTAAATTGAATATGGGCAAGGTCATTCATTTAAAAAAAAGAAAGATAGCCCTTCAACCGAGCATAATACTGGTCAAATATTATCACCTATAAACCTCTCGGTAATTCAGAAGAAGTGTTTAAAATGTTTTAAACACATCTGCCCCCCGTGTCCTTTAATATAGATGAAGGTTATCACTATTACAAACTTGATAGCCTTTTATCCAAGCATGCTACTAGTCAGAGAGAAAAATCCTATTCCAATGGCCAAAAGCATGCAGGAAAGCAAAAACACTGTATCTGCTTGTAGCTTGTCTAACATACCTGTTCAAATTGATCAATATTACCTGTGCTATAGATAGCTTTTTAAACACGGGTGATTTTCACCCCAACCTGTTTAAAGTGGAGGAGAAAAAACTTGGTTCTCAAAAAATACAATGACCAAAATTCAAACATGCCCAGAACTTTGGTCTGTGACAATGTATTTTATAAATTAGTATCATGCTAAGTTTGTTCAATTAACATTTATTATTATGCCAAATACCCAACTTCTCATTGTCTGAAGTTATTATTCCAAGTTTTGTCTTCCTGTAAAAAATTACTTCTTATTTGAAATCGCCATACTGGAGAACAGTCAACAGACACTAATATCATTTTGGAATTTAAAAATATTTTTGTATGTGGAATTAGTAAAATACATGTACACACTGACACATGCTATCTAGAGCCCGAATTACTTTATTCAGATTAGAATATTCAATCACTTATCAAACAAACAACTGCATGGTAAGATAATTCTATTTGATTTAAAAGAAGGTGATTCATTATAAAAGCTACTTCCATGGAATGTACATGTATTATTGTAAGATATTATTGGGACCAGTATGTCATTTTAGGATTGGTTCTTTTTCAAAACACATGTCCATAGGACCAGTACTTTTTCTAGCCTAAACGACTAGCAGGAACTATCTTGGTATTAAAGAAATACATGCTGTCTACAATGGGTAACAATTACTGGGAGCACACAGGGCATCTAAATCAGATGATAAGTATGATACTTGCCTAATAGCCTCCCTTGTTTTCTGGCGTTTCTTATCTAATTCCACCATCTGATGTTTGTCGGAGATGATGTCCTCAGCCAGTTCCTCTATCTCTGCCAGGTGATATAGCAGTTGTTCAGTCTCCATGTTTACAGTTGGGAAAACTAGGAAATAACATACTAATTAAATCATAATTTTCAATTTTTAATACATTTCATTGATAGAAATATAGAAGAGGAAGCACACTATGTGGATACCGAGAGGTAAAGTAAATTTTGATAAAATTAAGGAATTCTTAGTTGACACACGGAATTAGATTGTTATCTAAGTCCATGGTTGACATCAATAATTTTTTAAAGATATATATGCATATATAGATAATATCAAACAGAAAATATACTTCTACGTCTGGGAATTTACTATACAGGATCTGTACCATTTACCACATCCTACAGATGTCGACACTAACTCTAGTCTTTTAGTCGTCGTCCTGGACTAGTAGATTTCTGCAAGGACTAGTGAATCAACTAACCTAACTGGACCTTTGGACTTGTGAAAATATGAATATAAAATAAGAATAACCCCTTTTAAAGTTTATGAAACTGCTTAAAATAAGATATATTGCATGATAATTGTCAAAATTTTCCTAAAACTTCACCATATTTTTATTGCAGTAGTTATTTTAAGTCCCCTACAGTCGATTACTTTTGATGTTTTGTTCTGTAGATCACAAATTAATGTTTCCTTATCAGGAAATCTTTGACTGGTTACATTGAAGAAGGACTAGTAAATAATCTATTCAGCTGGTCCTGTGGACTACCAAGCAAAATAAGTAAGTGTTTATAACCCTGCATCCATGTGCTACACAGTCAATGGTTTATGGCTGCGTATTGTCCAAATGTCAAATGATTATCAAAAGAAATTGTACTGATGCGTAACTGTACACAGAAGACTTTTATGATATACTCAAACACGCAGAAAAATCCTACAAAAATAGTGATTGATGAACAGATGGTTCATGTTTGTACAGATACATAGAGTTGGTACAGTCCAAGTAGAAAGGCAAATCAAGGGCTACATGTAGTTAAAAGAACACACCTTAATTAAGGATAACTAAAAGCAAGTACTTAAGTTGTTACTCTAAACACAGCACATTTAGGCTTCCTTGAAACTAAACCATCAGACTGACTTTACTGTTCCTCAGCTGCAGATACACACATGATATTCAACAATGTGTAAAACTACTACGTATTCAAAAGGCGGAAAAATAGTCAAGAAATGCATGAAAATAAAATGCTGTAAACCACAAATGAATAGATATTTAAACCAGTGGCAGGCTTCTTCATTAATACACTGATGTACAAGATACAGGTCTTCATCACATACCAGCTGTCCCACTCTATCTCAAACTGGACACCGAGGGACAAGGGAAGGAATGGAAACCCATATGGGGTACCATCAAATCTTGAAAATGGAGATAGGTGGGGAAACCTATAAGGAGAAGCCAACTCTAACACTGACTATTACACACTTAATAAAACACATCAAGAGAAAAGTTGGAGTTCTAGAGGTTGCCCACAGGGGTTTGTTTTAATGATAATAGAAGTCAGAAAAAAGTACAGGATGAGTGAATTTAGAGTAGGAATTAATTCACTCACTACACATATTTTTCTGTCTTATATTACGCTTCCAAACAAACTTCTGGGGGTCGGTTGTTTAGCCATAACATGATACGACCTGCACTGTTTAACTAAACACCTCCGTACGACATGGGGACCGCAAATAACATGTATCTGATCATGATCAAACTAAACGGAATGCAGGTGACTACAGTCAGTGCATTTTCAAATGGGCTGGCATAGAGTTAAATGAAAATATAGAGGAATTGAGGACTTAATATAATTTACAAAATTACGCTGCACGTCCTCTACATACCCGTTACCATTATCATTGCTGAAAGGTCAATATTAAAATAGAAACTTAACACCGTCTCTCCAGTCGCATGTGCCTGTGGCTGTGTGATCAATATAATGAATATTATAATTTGTCAGACGTGAACAATGTCAATAATATCATAACATCTTACATTGATCGCCAGCTGTCTCATGACTATGGTTTTCAAAATACAACCCCGTTTCAAGCTTCTTTTATAGAGTAAAACAAATCATTATACGTAGCATCACAAGTCAACACATGGGAATCGCCATCTTTTAACCTGACATACGAGTCGTAAGCGGACTTTTATCGTATAGGTACTAAGTGTTTCAAACACGTATATTTATGACGTTATTACTTTCACTTTCATTTCATTAGCCGTTTTATAATGACAGAGTTTACTATTCCTGACACAATTACGAAGTAATTCCTTCAGATTTGCCTAACCAAAACTATTTAAATGTATTATAAATAAAAAAATATTTATTTTTAATGGATGTGCATACATGTAGCACAGGTGCTGGACGCGCTAATATCACAGGGACTTGATAATTTGTTACAGCTATATTTGGACCTAAACTAAGGCGTTCAGAGGAATTTTATATGTTTAGGCACGGAATTAGATTTAAGTCCGTGGTATAGGGGATTATATCGACTTTAGGTTAAAACGCCACCCCAGTGCTTATATATATTGAGGGTGGCGTTTTTACCGAAAGTCGACCAAAACCCCTAAAACATGTTAACTTACTCTGAACACCTTAGTTTAGGTCCAATTATAGCTGTAACAAATTATCATGTCCCTGGAGCTAATATGATGTGTTCAAATCATATTGACTTGGATCTTCTTTTGTACATTTTTACACGTACACAGGTGCTACTAATACTGTAGAGTATAACTATTTAGTCCAAGTCAATATGGATTTCAGGAAAAAAGGAAATAGAACTCAATTGCACAGAGTTCTTCCCACTCTTTTTAAGTTTTTATTGAAACCAAAATAAAGTTAATATTAATTCTAACAAACGAAAACCTTGACTACCCCATTCAATACTTATAGTTCGTACAGCTAGGCAGAACTTTACTGAGTATAAACACCAACATATATATGTAGGTATACCCTGTTACAGTAACCGTTATCTGAGAAATTGATGCGAAGAATGAAATGCTGTTTTCCCCATTAAGCTATATGCAAGCAATAACAAATGATGACGACACAGAATTATGATACATGAATTATTTCTAAGAAAGTTTTTACCTTTAAAGTGACATATGACAATATAAAGGCATTACATTTCAAACAAACCTTATGTTACCAGGAAAAAATCCAACAAAAGACGCAATCTTATCTTCAGAAATATTCCCAGAAAATTACACTACCTACAGAAATGAACACGGGACATTAGGGGGAGGAGTCTTCATACTTGTCAACAAAGACATTGTCTCAACAGAACAGCCAGAACTAGTAACCAACTGTGACATTGAATGGGTAAAAATAAAAGTTAAAGATGCATTAAAAGACCTCATCATAGGCCTTTCGACATGCCACACAGGGATACAAAAACTATAGATGAACAAGACAAATCATTGAAATTAGCAACACACAACCCTTCTGCAAATAACACCATACTTACAGGTGATTTTAATTGCCCTGACATAAACTGGGAAAACCTAACGATACGACAAGAAGCAAATGGCAAAGAAATCCAACATCAGCTAATTGATACAACTATATTAGCAGGCCTCACACAAATCCATGAAGAAACTACAAGAGAAAAGAGCCTACTTGACCTAGTGTTTATTACAAACCCAAGCCTAATCAAAACATCGAATAATATACCAGGCATCTCGGACCACGACATTGTAGTTACTGACATGGGCACCAAACCATACTACCAGAAAACACCAAAAAGAAAATCTTACATGTGGAGAAGAGCAAATTGTGTGGAAATAAAAAAGGAAATTGAAAGTCTTAGCCCAACCATTAATAACATGGTGAAAACAACAAAAAGGAGCAGAAGAATGCTGGCAGAAATTCAAAAATAACCTACTAGACTCACTAAATTCAAATATACCAACTAGAACTGCAAAATCCAACAATAATCTACCATTGTTCAACAAAAGGATAAGGAAATTGCTGTAGACAAAACAAAAACTTTATAACCAAGCCTAAAAGACGGGAAATTGGAATAACTACCGGCACTATCAAAAAGACTGCAAACGTGAAACAAGGAAAGCGGAAAACGCTTATGTAACCAATGTTATACAAGAGGGACTCGATTAGAACAACTCTAAACCATTCTGGAAATATGTAAAATCAAGGAAACTGGATAACATAGGGGTTGCAGCACTAAAATCACAGGGCACCCTTGTCAGCGACAGCAAAGAAAAGGCACAAATTTTCCTAAATCAATTCTCATCTGTCTTCAACCGTAATAACAACAAAATCTCGCCAAAAACACGTATAAACTTAAATCATTCGATTCCTAATCTAAATATTAAGCAAGAAGGAGTCGCAAAGCTCCTACGAAACCTAAATCCTTCCAAAGCGTTGGGGCCAGATAACATTCCAAATCGTGTTCTAATAGAGTGTGCAGACCACAAAGCACCCATTCTGACACAAATCTTCAAGGCCACAATAACAACNATAACTTAAAACATTCTGGAAAAATGCACTTATCACGCAATGCCTTCAACAAATTACATAATTACAGCACATATAAATACAAACATATAAATAGCACAGATTGCATAGAAAATATACAAACCAGATTTGAATTGAAATTACAAGAAATAAAACGATGAATTATAAGCAGCACACAATTTACACAAAATAAAGGAAAACAACACAAATAGCACATACAAATTATATACACATACACATTTTCAAGCATAATGACTAACTAAAAGCATTGAAGTTTTTATTATTTTCCTAAAATCATTAAAAGAAGTAGATAGTCTGACATGCTCTGGCAGTGAGTGCCATGTAGAGGCAGCTAAAAAACTAAAACTATTTATTCCATACTTAACTGTTGTGCTTCTAGGGACTTCTAAAATTTTACTGTATCTGAAATTATAAGATGATGTTTTTACATGAATAAAATCATGTAAATAACAGGGGCTTTGTCCATTTAAAAGTTTAAAAAGATTCTATAGCTTATTGTGATGTACAAGTGCTACCTTTTTCTAAAAAATATTCGTAGCTGGAATTAAAATCTTGATATACAGATTTAAGGGCTCTATAGTGTACCCTTTCTGGGTGTTTGCTTTGGAGCAAAAATGCCATATGAGTGGACAGATATTAAGACTTGACAATATAAAAAAGCATGACCAACCCATACGCTCTCAGCTTCTCCAATAGTTCAGACGGTACACAGTCAAATGCCTTGGACAGATCCATCAGAATGGCAGCAACATATTTGTTACTGTCCAAGGCCATTCGCCACTCCTCAATGAGTGCTATCAGCGCTGACTGACAGCTGTATCCACGTCTAAAAGCTGAGAGGAAGGGATGGAAAATACTGCTGAAGTTGATCATTTCAAATAAAGTTTACTTTAACTAAAATTAATCACACTTGTTTGCCCAGATGGAAGAGTGCAGTGGGTCAAGGTGAGGAAACTGGACGTTGGCGGACTGCATGGTGACCACATATCTTTACACGTGGGATTAGGAAATCGAACCCAGGCGTCATGGCGAAAAGGGGAATACAATAACTATCGCTCCATCCGACATTCTGTATTACATTGCACTGTTAATGTGAAGGAATCTTAATGAACAGCCTTATTGTATGACATTCCCCTAGTAGGCCTCACTGTATGTCCCTTACTGAAATTAAAGGTCACACAATTAAATCCTCCGCATTACTTAAAATAGCTCGACTACTTTGGAAAGGTCAAATAAGCACCAGTTTCTCGTTTACAGAACAACAAAGTTCTAGTCTCATTAATTAGGTCTGACGCCATGAATAAAGATTGATCTTTCCGTGACCTTTTAAAATAAACGTTATTTTGAATACTGACTTGTCCTCAGCCGACAGAGATTCTTTTCTCTATTGAATGAGCCTGTGCTTGAATCGATTGCCCCAATCCCTCCCTTAAAGTAATAACGGGACTACTAGTTCTTGTTGTTTATTAGGCTTATAGGTACATACATATATGCATACAACATTCCCTAAACATAGAATAGACAGGAGAGTGACATCACAGTATACATAAAACACCGTTCAATAATGTGCATATACCAATAATTAATTAACACATTAAAGTTATGAAACACCACAATACATAAACCTTGAATTAACGCCTCTTAAATGCTAAATATAAATACTATTACTGTAGTAAAAGGTATAGCATTGTTGAAGTGCAAGATCTATGACTAGTAGTAGCCTTGCTGCTAAAGTCTGAAATTTGGATATTACATTGACAATATGTTGAATAAAACACGTTTTCCAGTTGACTGAATAGTCGGTTATCCGATCGGAGGATTTTTACAGCGAGGGAGCGGTGAATGTACAACTGAATCGGCTTGAATTTGAACTTGACTGTTAGCTGTTGAATCATTGAACAGACTTATATTGATCTGTTGTCCCTATTACGGTCGTTTGGCTTTCAATCTTTCTTTCAAGTCGATCGATCTTTTTCTCGTAAAAGAGCAATGGCAATGTTTACAATGTCTACTGCATTCGTCATCAAACTTAAGTGTTGAATTTTGCACCTTTAGTACATTTGACATGAAATAAAAAATGTGTTGCTGTGATGAAATCCTCTTCTGGTACCTTACTTAGTACTGACACCTTCGTGCAACCGAAAGGTTGTTGACCAACGCACAAGTACTGTCTGTGATATCGCCAGTTTGACTAAGACATGCTTTTAAAGTTGGATGCCTAATTAGTTTACTTCTAAAATTCTTTTTGTTCTTACTCTCCAATTCCAACTGAATTTGTTTCGTTGACCTTCTATTAAATTGACAGACACCAATACTCCTTCGCAGTCCGTGTGTTGGTAATTTTTGTTTTTACATCTTTTACACTCCCATCTGGTAATGAAGCGGACAGTTATTCTGATAACTCTTGGAATAAAGTTATTATTCACTGCTCTTAGACAATTCTAATCAGGAGATGTTGTGCCTTGTTAATAAGTTGTAAATCCTTAATTCTATTTCAACAGTAATATAGACCAGTTTTCATTTCCACCTTTAATTTGACCCGTAGCATCACTAATGGGTCCTAGAATACGAAAACAGCTGTATGATGCGGTGTAATTCATTTTGTCAAATGTTGTAGGTGCAATCATATGGGTGTCTTCGGTTCACATTTTGTAACGTTCTAAAGGGTGTTACGAACACTTTTTCTTTTGCCTGTATTCTACATATTATTCGGAACACTTCAGGCACGGACTGTTTCATTAGTTAGACCTTCGTACACTGATGCATCCTCTGTATCCAGGGGTTACGATCACTTTCTTTCGCTCTCTACACCCCTGGAATATGTCATAGCAAATTTGAAGGCACGAAGATAGCTGTTTGATTGGTCTCAGGTAAAAACCTGACCAATCGCTAGGCCGATACATGTCATTTGAGACGCCCGACTTCAAAGCCTGTCAATTTTTACCGTCACGTGACCGCAAGATTATTTTGATGTACATCAAAGGATCGAACTAGTCACCACTACTGAGCCTTTTGTCAATTTTGCTATAACATATTCCAGGGGTGCAGAGAGCGAAAGTGAACGTAACTCCTGGATAGCGAGGATGAGACTGATAAGGCCTAAATGGACGACATGGTGATATAGTGCAGTAAAATGCTGACTTTCTGCATTCTTTCTTTCTTCATTTTTCTATTGATTAATTTTACAACAACGTGGTTGACTCTGTTAGTGGACTGTTAATCACCAAGGTTGGCCGTAGCTTTGTAACTGGAATTTGTTTTTGAAACGTTAACATTATATTAGTTAAAACGTTATTAATGGTTTATACCCATCTGTCCCATTCTTGCTGTATTGTACCTAGGATTAGACGTGGTTCATACCCCCCTTTTCTCCCTCCCCCCTTCTTGCTGTATTATACCTAGGATTAGACATGGTTTATACCCACCTTTCCCCCTTTCTTGCTGTAATATACCTAGGATTAAACGTGGTTTATACCCACCTTTCCCCCTATCTTGCTGTATTATACCTAGGATTAGACATGGTTTATACCCACCTTTCCCCCTTTCTTGCTGTAATATACCTAGGATTAGACGTGGTTTATAACCACCTTTCCCCCCACCTTCCTGTAATATACCTAGGATTATACGTGGTTTATACCCACCTTTCCCCCTATCTTGCTGTATTATACCTAGGATTAGACATGGTTTATACCCACCTTTCACCCTTTCTTGCTGTAATATACCTAGGATTAGACGTGGTTTATACCCACCTTTCCCCCCATCTTGCTGTATTATACCTAGGATTTAGACGTGGTTTATACCCAACTTTCCCCCATCTTGCTGTATTATACCTAGGATTAGACGTGGTTCATACCCCCCTCCACCCCTTTCTTGCTGTATTATACCTAGGATTAGACATGTTTATACCCACATTTCCCTCTTTCTTGCTGTATTATACCTAGGATTAGACGTGGTTTATACCCACCTTTCCCCCTTTCTTGCTGTATTATACCTAGGATTAGACGTGGTTTATACCCACCTTTCCCCTCATCTTGCTGTATTATACCTAGGATTAGACATGTTTATACCCACCTTTCCCCCTTTCTTGCTGTATTATACCTAGGATTAGACGTGTTTTATACCCATCTTTCCCCCTTTCTTGCTGTATTATACCTAGGATTAGACGTGGTTTATACCCACCTTTCCCCCATTCTTGCTGTATTATACCTAGGATTAGACGTG